ATTATTTTATATTTTTTTTTTTTTTTTTTTATTTTTTTTTTATACACATATAAATATAATTTATATTATTTTAAAACTTTTACCTTTAACTATTTTTTAGTCAATATATATCCATGTATATAATAAATTTATAATAACTGAAACTTTTAATACATTTAAAATATATTAAAATTAATTATATTTTTAAAAAACAAAAAAAAAAAAAAAAAAAATTAGAAATATAATTGTTCTTTTAATTTTTTATTGTAAATGATATTTTTATCCTAAAAAAAAATAAAATTAATTTGGTATTTATAAAAATAAAAATAATAAATATCATAAAATATTTTTATTAAACCATAGTACGATTGATTATATGTCTTTACATATTTACAAAAAATATAAAATTTGCATTTTTTATTTTTTTTTTATTTTAAATATTTTTGAAGTTCTATAAAAATTAAAATGTGAAAAAAAAAAAAAAATTAGTAAATTGAAAATTTTTACAATAAAAAAAATTATAAAAAAGGTAATAGAAGTTTTTAATTAAGAATAAAAATAATAAATAAAAAAAAAAAAAAAAAAATTTTTAAATTTTTATATATTAAGTGATATTGAAACCTCTTTGTAAAAAACTATAAAGAATATTATGAAAAAATAATTAAAAAACTGATAAAAAGAGAAATTAAAAATAAAAAAAATTAATGAATATAATTATTAAAAGTGTGTATTAAAAAAATTAATGAAGATGATAAAATAACTGATAATAAAGGATACATTTAAAATTTAAAAATGAGTAAAGATAAAGTTATTAATATAAATGATAATGCTTATAAAAGCAATTTAAATAATTCAGAATATAAAAAAAAAAATATTAAAGTAAACAATTTAAATAACGATAATAATAATAGTATAAATATAAAAGATAGTAAGAAACATACTAGCCAAAATTCAAATAAATATGAAAATGATCTGTTAAAAAGTAAAAATTATGATAGTAAACATACACAGAACAAAGTAATTAAAAAAAAAGAACATAAAATTAAAGAAAAGCATAAAACAAAAGATAATAATGGAGATTATATAAATAATTGTGAACATATTGATAAAAAAAAGAGCTATGAAAGTACCAACGAAAAGAATTCGAAAATAGATAATATAAGTAAATATAAGCAATTTAATAAATTTGATGAAAACTATGAAAAGGAAAAAGAAATAGGAAAACTCAAAAATAAAGAGAAAATAATAATTAAAGAAAAATTAAATCAAGGAAAAAATGAAATATATGAAAAAAATTATAAAAATGAAAAAGAAAATGTAAATTACGAATACAAAATACGTCAAAAGGAAATAAAAGATGAAAGAGAAAAAAAAAATGAAAGGAAAAATTATGATAGAGATGAAAAATATGATAAAAACAAATATGAAAAAAAACTTACAGATAAAAAGAATGAAAAAGACGAATTTTTCTGTAATACTAATAATAGAAGAGATAAAGATTTGAAGGAAAGAAAAATATCTAATGATAAATATGATAATAACAAAAAAGAAAAAATCTATGATAAAGAAAAATATGATCATAAAAACAGTAAATCAAAAAAAATTATAAAAAACGAAAATGAAATAAGAGAGAATAAAAATAACTCTGAAATGAATGACAACAAAAAAACTAAGTATGAAAAAATAGGAAAATATAGTAATGAAAGGGAAAAAAGTGAAAAAAAAAGAAATAAAAAAGATTATGTTGATGATAATGAAGAAAGAAAAAATAAAGATTATTATAGAGATAAGTATAATATTAAATATAAAAAAAGTAGTTCTTACAATAAAAAACATAATAAAGAAGATGAATATAAAAAATGTGAAAAAGATAGTTATAATAAATATGAAAAAGATAGTTATAATAAACATGAAAAAGATAGTTATAATAAACAAGAAAGAGATACTTATAGTAAACATGAAAAAGATACTTATAATAAACGTGAAAAAGACTGTTATAAAAAATATGAAAAAAGTGATTATAAAAAATATGAAAAAGATGATTATAAAAAATATGAAAAAGATGAGTTACACATTAGAAAAGATAATTATGAAGAACATGATAAGACGATAAGCAAAAAACATAAAATATATGATATAGATAGATATAATGAATCTAAAAAAAATACTAAAGAAAACGGAATTTTAAATAATAAAAGAAAATATAATTACGAAGAAAAAGAAAAAAGCAGTTTCAAAAAAAAAAATAATTTAGAAAATTTAAAAAAATATGATACCTCAAATAATAATGATAATAAAAAAAATTTAAGAGATAAATCATATAAGAGTGAAAATAGTTTAGAATTAATAAAGAAAAATAATAATGTAAATAAAACCATAAGAGAAAATGAAGATTATAAATCAAGCATTTCTAAAAATGATCATGAAAGTAATTATAATAATAATAAGTTAAAAAAAATTAATATGGAAAATGAATCTAAAAGTAAGGAAGAAGATAAAAAAGAACAGCAAGGAGAAAAAATAAGTAATGAAGTTAAAGAAAAGCAAAATTTTAATCCATCTGGTTTATTAGCAAAAGATAAAAATTACAAAAATGGTATTGAATTAAAATATACTGAAAGTGTTGATGCTGAAATACCAGATAAAAAATGGCGTCTTTATATGTTTAAAGACTGTAACAACAATGAACCTCAAAGTAAATTAAAAAAAAAAAAAATAAATAAATAAAAATAATAAATTAGTAAATAAAAACAAAAGGGAAAAGAAAAAATAAAAGATTGAAGTGTAAACATGAACATATGATAAATTATGAAAAATAAAATTTCAATTTATTATTTTTTGTTAATATTTACTTTTTCATATTTTGCATAATTTTTTTTTTTTTTTTTTTTTTATAGAAATACTACATATACATGAGAAATCTTGTTATTTAATTGGAAAAGAGGATTTAGTTGCAGATATAAAATTAAATAATATTAGTATATCAAAACAACACGCAGTTATACAATTTAAAAGGCATGAAAATAAAATTTTACCATTTCTTGTAGATTTAAATAGTACAAATGGATCATATTTAAACAATGAACAAATTGAACCAAATAAATTTTATGAATTGAGGTATTTATAAAATTAAAATAAATCAATGTATATATATTTATATATATTTTATTATATCACCTGTTCATTTAATATATATATATATATACATATATATATATTTTATTCCTTCAGAGAAACAGATATTTTAAGATTTGGTAGTTCAGTTCGTGAATTTGTTTTACTTCATGATACTTGTCATATCAATTAAAATGATTAAATTTTTTTAATCTAAAAATTGAAATTTTTTTTTATAAAAAAAAAAAAAAAAGTACTCATATACTGCTATTACTGTCCACCTTAAAATATTTAACTTCTCAAATTTTATTTCTATTATTCTTTCTTTTTGCTTAATATTTCTTAATTTTATTTTATATTTATTGATTTCATTATATAATTATTTTAACTTTTGATTATATATTTTTATTGTTTTATTTTTATACTATAACTTTATTTGTAACTTAAAAGTTTTTAAGTTATTATAAAAATTAAAGTGTGTTAATGTGAAAAAAAAAAAAAAAGTAAAATAAGTAAAAGATATAAAACAAAATAAAATAAAATATATTATTTTGTTTTATAAAGAAAATTAACTTCAAAAATTTAAAAATTTATGACTTTATTTTCATTAAAAAAAATTTGTTCAAATTTTTTAATTTAAACAATATGTCTATACATAAAAAATAACAAATAAATATATTAGCAATTCTGCAAATATATATATACATACAGAATAATAAAAATAATTATGAAATTATTAAAAATTGTCTTTCAAAACTAATACAAAAAAAAAAAAAAAAAAAAAAAAAAAAAAAAAAAAAAAAAAGAAAAAAGAAAAAAAAAAATAAAAAGTAATATTCATGAATTATTTTGAAACATAATTTTATAAAAAAAATTATCTTAATGATCAAATTTATAAATATTCATATTTTCAAAATTATCATTTATATCATCCAATGCTTTAGTTATTTCATCAATTTCATCAAAATTTATATCATTTGAGTCGGCGTTACTTATATCATCCGCCTTTTTGTTAGAACTATTTGGATCTTTAATTGTTGAAAAATTCTCTAGATTATTATCATTATTATCATTATCATCATTTGTTTTAAGTTCAACATTTTCTGAATATAATTCTTCTTGATATTCTAAAGTGTTATCGTATTTTGAATTATATTTTTGTTCATCATAATTAAAATTATCTCTAAAACTAACTTCATCATTGTCATTTCTCACAATGCATGTAGAATTATTTTTATTTTGAACATTAACATTTATGGAGTTAATACTTTTGTTTATATTCGTAATTTCATCATTAATTTCTTTTGTAGGAAATTCATAATTTTTTTTATCATAATTTTCTAAAAAAATAATTTCTTTTTTTTCCTCCTGTGAGTTCATATTATGTGTACCTAAAACAGTACTATTACATTCTAATTGTTCTATAGAATGAACATTTTTAATACTCTTATTCATGTTAGCATTTTCTTTATTATTCTGTTCTATAAATTTATCATCACTTAAATTATTTTCATTCTTCCTATATACATCTATATTATCTTTTTCTTTAGTAAAATATGTGCTACTTTCATTTTTATTTTCACTTTCATCCTTCAAGAATATATCATCTCGTTTTTCGTTTGTATTTTCTAAAATATCATTTTTTTTATCTATATCCACCTTATGACAAATATTATCAGAATTATTGAAATCAAATGTTTTGAATAAATAATCATAATTATTTTCATCAAAATTATCTCCTCTATATTTATCCTTTTCCACAATTTTCTTTTCATTTTTTTTATCTGAATTATATAAATTATCTACACCCTCTATAGAATTTTCTCTATTTATTAAATTATCAATTAAATCATTATGATTTTTATTAAATGAACTTACATCATCTATAATGTTTTCTTTAATTTCGTCCGTGTTTAAATTTTGAATATTATCACAACTAATATCTATATACTTATTTTCTGTTTTAATACAACAATCAGAATTATTTTTTCCTGCAATTTTGTTTTCAATACCCTTTGAAATTTCATTAGGGTTATTAAATGAAAAACCCTTTTCAAAGTTACAATGTCTTTCATTCAAAGTGTTTACATTATAATTTTCTATTTCATTATTGTAACTCTGTTTATTTGCTGAATCAAATAAACTATAATTAATTTCTCCAATTTCATTTTTATTGTAATCATTATTGGTCATGTTGATATCTAAGATTCCTTTATCAAAGTTTTTTAACTGGTTAACATTGTTATTATTACATTCTTTAGAAACATAAATTTTCGAGTTTTCCTCATTTTGTACAGAAATATGGTTAGTTGAATTTAAAACATTAACTTCATTTATATTAATATCACTATTATTCATTTTATCTAATTTTGATATTTTTCCATTATATTTTTGATTATTCACAATAATATTACTATTTCCAACTTCTTCACAATTTCCTTCATTTTCCATATTAACATGAAATAGATTATTCCTTTTATCATATTCTTGGTTATTATTTTTGAAAATATCCATTTCATTATTTCCATTAATACAAATATTATTTTTATCATTATTGAAATTTAATTCATTAAATGCACTATATTTATCATAAGTATAATTATTTTCATTAACTGTTATATTTTTTTCTTTATCTTCCTTAAAAAATGAAAATATATTTTCATTACTAAATATAGTTTCTAATGGTTTTCCATTGGAAGTATCGCTAAAACTACCTAATGACTTATTAAGAAAGGTTTTATCAGTTTTACATCCTTCATTATTTTTATCTATTGTTTCATTATTCCATGGATCATATTTATTAAAAATTATTTCATTTATATTATCTACTTCTGAATTATCTTTTTTTTTTTTTTTTTTTTTTTTTTTTTTTTTTTTTTTTTTTTTTTTCTTTTTTTTTTCATATTCCATTTTCTCTTGTATTTTTTGGTCTTTTTTTTTTTTTTCTTCTTCTTCTTCTTCCTTCTCTTTTTTTTCCTTTTCTAACTTGCTTAAGATACCAATTTGATCATTAATGTAAAGAAGCGAATTTAATGTAAGAGAAACATTTGTGTTTCCTTTATAATCTGACAGTTTATTAATACATTGTATAACTCGTTCTTTGAAATTTAAAACTACGTTAATACATTTAGTTCTTTCTTCATCATGAGAGATATTTTGAATTTCTTTTAAACTTCTCATAATATTATTTATTTGAGTTAAATTTAGTGGTAATTCATGTAAAATATTATCATCTGAAAATGATGGAGATGTTTCGGCATTTTTAACAAAAAATTTTTCTGACTTATTAATAATTGGAAAGGTGACGCCTTTTTCTTTTAAAGATTTATATTCTGAAAATATAGCTGATGCTACATTTTGATGAAGAATAAAAGAATCATGCCATAATTGAAGCATAAATAAAATTTTTCTTTTTATAAAATGAAGTCTGGGATCAGTTGCTACCCCTGGATGAATTACTGGAACAATGAGAAATTTAGACAATTTCGATTTCACATTTTTTGCAATGGATTTTTTTAATGTTGTTGTTCTTAATAGTTTTCCTATTTTTTTCATGAAATTTTCATCAATAAATCTAACAAAAAATAATCCTAAATTTTTAACACAGAAATTTAAAAATTCTAAAGATATAACTACTTCTTCTGGAACATGTTTTCTTTTTATTTTTTTTCCAATAAATTTAATGGTTAAAATAATAACATTAATTTTATTTTGCATATAATTTAATATATTATATGCTCTATATATATCCAGAAATATTATATCATTTAAGCAATTTATATTTTTATCATTATATTTTATCATTTCATTAGAATCTATATTCCCATGATTTCTTAATAAATTATCAAGGCAGGTAAAATACGTTTGATCATTTGTTATATTTTTTAAATGATTTATTTCATTAATATAATTATTACCAAATCCAGTTATGTCATATTTTTTATTTAATATTTCCTTATTATTTAAAACATTTTCTAAATGTTTGCTATTTGCTATACCAATGGATTGTTTTTCATTATTTCCTCTATTAAAACTGTTACTAAATTTATTATTAAAATTTATATATACCTCATCATTTTTCATAATTTTCTTATCATTATTAATATACCTTTCATTTTGTTTACTATTTTTAGTAGAAGAGTAATTATAAAAACTATTAAATAAACCAGAATCCATATTTTCATTATTATTTTTTAAATTTATTTTGTCTTGGATATTTTTTAAACTATTCATATTATCTACATTAGTTGGATAATTTACATTTCTGACTTGATTTTCACAAAATATATTATTTGAAATATTTGATCTGTTGTTACTACTATTTGTACCTTTCATGCTATAATTAATATTACTTAGCATATTGTTAAAAGATTTCATACAATTATTAGATAATGAACTAATGTTAGAACTATTAAATATTCCCAATGATTTTTTTTTTTCTGATTTTCTACTGTCACTAGAATAATTTCTTCTTAAATTTGATTTTATATTTAGAGATGTTAAATTTTTACTTTCATTTCCTATTTTTGTAAAACTATTACTACAACTTATATTTCTCGTAACTTCTTTAATAAACACATCCTCATTTTGTAAATTTATATCAATGTCTTTTGCATCTTTTCTTTTTCTAATTCCTCTATTATCCATTATCTATTTTTTCTCACATATATATATATATAATATATGTATATATTTAATAAAAAAAAAAAGATGAATAAGAAAAAAAAACTTCAATAATTTTATATAATTATATGTAAAAAAAAATATATTAAATAATAACAAAAATTTTAAAATTTTCCATAAAGTATAAATTATAAAAGAAAATAATAAAACATTTTTCTTTTTATATAATTATATTTACTAGATATTAAAACGAAATACTATTTCATGATATTTTCAAAATATTCAACATTACAATATTTTATTATTATGTATAAATAAGAATTTTTTTTTTCCTTTTTATATATTTAAATATACAAATAAGTTAATATTTTTTTAGTAATGCAATTTTTATTATTTCATATAGATTACATACACTTTTAAAATTTTTTTCCGTAAATACACAAGTGCTATAAAGAAAATATATGCTATATAAAAAATAAGTAGATAACATAAAAATCTATAAATAAATTACAAATTACATAAAATTTATCTAAAAAAAAATGAAATTTAAATGAAATATATTAAAAAAAGATAAATATGTTTTTTAAGTGATGTAATGATACACAGAAAAAATAATATTTATATATAATTTTTTAATTATTACTTTTCTTTTTTTTTTTTTTAGTTAAAAAAAAAAAAAAAAACAAAAATATTAATTAACATACACTTATTTTTCTTTAATAAATGTAAAATTATTTGAATTTTACATGAATTTATAAGAGTAGATTATATTTTCATTAAATAAAAATATTAATCAACAAATATTATAATAAATTTAATATATTAATTTTTTTTTTTAATTTTATTGCACACATCTAACAATTTATATTAAATAGGAACTTTTTCAAAGTTTTACCGAAATAAAAAAAAAGAAAAATTAAAAAAATGAATAAAAAATCAGATAAAAAATTAAGAAATAATAAAAAATTATCATAAAAATGTATAAAAGCAATAAAAAAAAAAAAAAAAAAATATATATATAATAAAATATTACAAAAATAAGGCATATATTTATTTATAAGTATAACAAATTGTTCTGAAATTTTTTTTTTTTTTTTTTTTTGTTCGATATAATTTAAGAAAGTCAACCTTTACAAATATATTTTTTTCTTATTAAGAAGATAAAGTTCAGGAGAAAATTAAAAAAAACTAGGTGGGAAATATAAATGTATACAAAAGAGAATTGATCAAGAAAATTTTGAGTAAATAGAAATATATATAAATATATATATATAAACTATAAATATTATTTAATAAAATATTCAATTTTAAAAAAGAGGAAATTCATTTTATTAGGAAATGCTTATTGAAAATATAAATATGTATATATATATATTCTTCTGTTTATTTAAAAGTTAATTTCACTTAATTTCCATAATAAACTAATAACAGAATATGTCATTTGTTAGAACACTTGTTACTATACATATATTCTAAAAAATAAAAAATGAAAAAACTTGAGACATACTTCTCAATCCTATGATTACGAAAATATAATGCCATTATTATTATTACTTTTTTTTTTGACAATTTTTTATTTTCATTCGTTATTTTGTTTAATTTTGAAAAAAAAAAGTCAAGCATTTTTACCTGTAATTACCTTACCAAAAAGTAAAAAGAAAAATATTTTAAGAATAATATAAATATTGTTTATTAATACTATTCATGAAAATAACGATAAAAAGAAATAGTTATGAAAAATATGTAAAAGTTTCTCCAATAAATAATTGGAAATTAAAAAACAAAAAAAATTAAGCTTTTACATTTTTCACAAATATTTTTTTTTTTCTTATACATTTTTTAGATAATAATATACGAAACAAATATTTCAACACGGATTACAAGAATGAAAAAATAAAAAAGAAAAAATTTACAAATAAATACAATTATAGATCCGGAGCATTAGATAATGAAAATAAAGGTAGCAGACTTGATAAGTTCAACGATGAAAATAAAGATGAATACGATATATTAAGAGAAGAAAGTATATATAACGGATTTGATACATTAAATGATAATATAAATTCAGATGATTATGAAGGAATCATCAATCAAAAACAAAAGCAAAAAGGAAAACATAGATATAATGTATATGATAATGAATTAAAAAAGAATTTAAAAGAAATAGATCTAGAAAAAGTTGATAAAATAGATAGAACAAAGTGTGAACTGCCTCCGTATATATATAAGGGAATAAAAGTTTATGAAGGTAAGTCAATGAATTATGAACCAGAAGTTTATGATTTTCGTACGTATAATAAATATTTTGATGATTTATGTAAAGAGAAAAAAGCGTTAATTGATTCATATCAATTAGATAAAAATTTATTAGATGAAACATATTTTGATGCAAAAAAAGGAGGCCCAAAAACTTTTGGTTTTAAATTTAAACAAATTCAACCAGTAAAATATCATGAAGGAAGAGCATATACTTATTTTTTTATGCATTCTCATGAGGTTGAATTATCTCCAATTTTTCTAAATGCTTTTAGACGAGTAGCAATTAAGCATTTGAAAGGTGGGAGGGTTACGGCTCTAAGAATCCCCAATATGAAACATGAATTTTATTGTATTGTAGGTGTTAGGGAAAATTTTTTTGATATAGCACAGAACTTAAGACAAATAACTTTTAAAAATGTACCAGAGGATGTAGATATGGATAATTATTTAACTGGAAAGTTTAGAATAAAGGGACCAATGATTGTAGTAGCTGGACATATGCAATTACCTGGAAATGTTGAAATCATAAACAAAAATCAATATATATGTTCCGTTTCTGCAGGAAGCTATTTAGAAATGGATGTTAAAATAGAAAGCATTGAAGAATATGTAATGCCTGAATACGGAAGTCAATCAAGAAATAGAGATATATGTAAAGATAATTTTATTCATTTTAGTAGTAGTTGTACTCCAGTAGAGTTTTTTGGTTTCACTGGTCAAAGAAGAGGAATTAATTTAGATATTTTAGGTGAAATTAACATTGTTGAAATGCATACAGATGGATCTATTGCACCTAAAACTGCTCTTTTAAAAACTATAGATTACTTGTCAGAAAATTTTCAATATATAGAAAATGCTTTATATCATAATTGTCATACATGTGATGATGGAACTATTGATGAAGAATTTAGGAACCCGGAGTTTTATATGGATAAAGATAGGTATACTGATGTACCATGGAATAAGTACAAAAGTACTACAGAAGAATTAGAGGAAACAAAAAAATGGTTATATAGGAAGGATGTACATAGACAATATAATATAGATCCAGAAAGCGTAGAATCAAAACAAGAAAGAGAAATATTATGGGATAAAAAACAGAAATTTATTAAAGAAATTGAAAAAAGAAAAGAACAAATAAAAAAGGGACCATCAGTATCTGAAGGAGAAATAATTCCAAATGAAGAAAGGCATGACTGTTTGATTGATTGGCCTGTGGATAAATCAGAACGAAATATGAATCCACCCCGATGGGTTATTGAAAGACCTTTAGAAAAAAATCCACATGTTGGTCACGAAGAAATTTATGATGAAGGCATATGATAAAAAAAAAAATTAAAATAAAAAAAAGTGAGTTTTAAGAAACACAATTGGTTAAATTTTATTTTTGTACCCATTTTCCTTGAATGAAAAAATTTATATAAAGACGCATTTTTATTTTATTTTTTTTTTTTTTTAAATTACAAAGCATGCAATTTAATAATGGAGTGGGTACTGCTTTTTTTATATTATTTTTTTTTGAACAAATAATACATAATATGACGTTATGATTATTATAATAAAAAATTCCTTATAGATATATATTTTTTTTTATGTTAAGATGATGAAATACATAAAATTTTCATATTTTAATATAAAAATAAAATTTTTTTTTCCTTTTTTTTTTTAATTGTTTTTATACTAATTAAAGCTGTTTACATTTTTTAATTAAAAAAATTCTTAATATAAAACTATAGAAAAAAATATATTTATCTTTTTTTATATTAAAATTTTCTTTAATTAGAATTTTAATGAAAATATATACGAAATGGTTTTAATAAAAATTTGTTTAAATTCTTTTTACGTTATGAAATGAATTTAATAAAATATTTAATTTTTTTTTTTTTTTTTTAATAGCTTTTTTAGCTATTAAAAAAAAATATGCAAACATGCAATGAATAAAACACTTTTTCTTGAGAAAAAGGTAGCAAATTTTTAGTCCTTGTAAAAATTTGTTCTATAAAAATTAAATAATTTAATAAAGTAACAAAGAAAAAAAATGTGTATTTTGTTCTTAAATGGATTTGTTATGTAACAAATTTTTATTTTGTTTTTTTTTTAATATACTTTTTTTTAAATTATGAACCTTTTTTCTTTAAATCTTTTGAATGAAAAAATTTGCATTTTTATGTAAAATAAAATATTGGTAAAGTATTTTCATCTCATTTATATAAATTTCACTTAACTTTTTTTTTTTTTATATTGTTGTACACTTTATTCATAGATATATACTATGATTACTATTTGCTCCACAATTTTGAATGAAGAGTTTTATATATGATCTTTTTTTTTCATATTTATCTTCTGTTTTTTTTTTTATTAGTTATATTTAATAACCTAATATATATTAAATTAAATATTTATTTATAAAAATATTTTTTTTTTTTTTTTTATGTGCTCTTATATTTTCCCTTTAAGTTTTCAATGAATTAAACTTTGCATTCATATAGAGAGTTATTAAAATTTGAATATAGGTTTTACTTTATTATTTTGAATATTACTAAAATATTATTTTTTAAAAAATCTTCAGTTAAATGGAGTATTTTTTATATTTAAAATAAAAAGTTAAAAATAAATGCAGACAAGAAAAATAAAGAAAAAAATAAACAGATGACTATAACCACAACATGATAAATTGTACTATTTTGGCATTTTAATATATAATACTAGCACAGTTATCATTTAAGAAAGTAAAAGATATAAAGGAGAAACAAAAAAAAAAAAAAGTTTTTTTACACATTTTAATAAAATTCAAAATGTTAACATTAATTTCAGTTTGTACCTATTTATTTTATGCAAACAAAGACTATATATTAAATTTAGTGGGATTAAATAATGATGAAAATGAAAATAAAGAAGAGAACACTACAGATGTAAAAACAAAATTAAAAAATGAAAAAATAAGAAAAGCTTTAACAGAAGAAATATCCTTATCCGATTCTGACCTAAACAGAAAAAAAATTATTCTAAGAACATATAGTGATGTTGATTTTAACATAAAAACGCGTAACAAAAATTTTCGTAATTAAATTTTAAATTAATATTTAAATTTTTTTAGTATTTTTTTTTTAAATAAATTACCATGACTAGAATATAACTTCATATAAATAAATGCTCATAATTCTATTTAATATGCTTCCTTGCTACCGCGAGTAGTGAAATAATGAAAATGCATTCTACTCAAACTTGTTTTTATAACACACGTAAATTATAAAGTTCCCTTTTATTTTTTAACATCATAACTATAATATATATATTTTTTAAATGAATTATAAAATTATCTTATTTATTTTCTTATAATTTTTATATTTTATATAATTTTAAGAATTTTTTTTTTTTATTGCTCCTCTGTATTTATTTTTTTTTTTTGAGTTTGAAATTACTAATTAATGTTAACCTAAAATATTTTTATTATATAGATTAAAAATATTATTAGAAAAGCTAATATTTTGTCTTATAAAGTTTTTGTATATATTTAAGTATAAAAAAAAAAAAAAAACGAATAATAACATGATAAATATACATTTTTTTATATTTTAAACGTTTCTATTTTTTTTTTTTTTTTTTTTTTTTTTGCTTACTTTTTTACATATTTTTTTTTATTTTAAATGAATAAGATTAAAAATTTTAACAAAACATATTCAATAAAACAAAATTTTTTAATATATCTATTGTCTTATATACAATTATATGACAATATTTAAATTATAATTTGCATAATTTTCTATATAATATCAATAAATGCAAAATTAAAATAATAAATATTCTTATATATGTAAAATAAAATTATTTTATAATTTATATTTCATGATTTCCTAAACTCTGTATATTTTAAATAACAATTTGATGAAAAAAGAAAAAAAAGGATCTATATTTAACAAGGAAAAAAATTTTCTTAGATAGAAACAAAAAGAAGACAGATATTCAGTAAAAGAATGAAAATAATTTTCACATTTTTTTTTCCTTTTTTACTAAAATATGTTAAAATTTAATGTATAAAGATAATTGATATTTTAGATATACTAATAAAAAATATAAGAAAAATTAAAAAATAAATTTAAGAGAAAAGAAAAAGGTATTACTTATAGATAAAATAGACATGAGTGATAAGAAATCAAGTGATGAAAATTCGTTTAACATAGAAGATATAAAAACAAAAAAGAAAAAAAAAAAAAAAAACGTAGAAATTTTCTATGAAAATGAATTGGAAATATTTTCTCCCTGCATAGATGTTGAGGGTAAGTTATGTGTTATTTCAGATAAAGGTGATATTTTTAGATATAAATTAATAAATATACAAAAAAATCAAGAAACTAATGATTCTTCATCATCATCATCTGAAGAAGAAGAATATGTTGATTCCAACGATGGTGAAAGTATAAGAGAAAAAAAAAAAAAAAAAAAAGAAGTAGAAGAAGAAAAATATCTTAGTATTGATTTTACAACCAAATGCTTATGCTCAGATAATGATTTTAATTTCTATGTATTCAATCCTAGTAATAATAATGAAAAAAAAAAAAAAAAAAAAATTTTATTAAAATCTCTTCTTTATAATTATTTTTATAGCCTTATAAAAATTAAAATTAATTACTTTAAGATAAAAATAAAGAAACCATTTTATATTTTCATCTTATTTTATAATTTAGTGTGTAAAACTTGATTTCATTATATTATTTTATATTATTGTATATTATTTTTTTTTTTATATTTATTTATACTTTTATATATATATATATATATATATATATATATTTATTTTTATTTAAGTAACAAGAGGATTAATGATAATAGACAAAAATAAGAATATTGAATTGTATACTGATGAATACGAAGATAAAAGTTTTACAGAAGTTAACAATTTAGTATATGATAAAAAGAATAACAACTTATATTTAATAGACTCAGGTAATATCAATGAAGAGAATAAGAGTAGCTTATATTATATAAATAAAGATATTGAAACAATGCTATCAATAGATTTAGAAAATATATTTTATGCCAATAATATTTGTATATATCAAAAGGATAACATAAATTCTATTTATGTTTGCTTAACTAAAGAAAATAAAATTTTAAGATTGATAAAGAAGGGAAATTCTTACATAAAAAGTGTCTTTTTATATTTAAATGGATGTTACTCTCCCTTATTTATTTGTTCCAATAATACTAATTTTGTTATTTTACTAAAGGATTTAAGTGAATGCGAAAAAAAAGGAAAAATAATAGAAATTAATTCTAATGCAGAAATAATTAATTCCTTTTTTATTAAAGGAAACAAGTTTAATGGCATATGTTATGATTATAATATAAATAGATATTTTTTTATAGAAAAAAATATTATCTATATATATTAAATGAATAAATAGTTATATTATTTCTACTTTATTTATGTTTAAAAAAAATTTTGCAAAAATAATTTACTAAAAAAAAAAAAAAAAAGGTAAAATTATAAAAATATATTAATATGACTAAAAACAAATATATTTAAACATTTTTAATTTCCTATTTTATTACTTTTTTACTTTTCACAAATAATTTTTTATTTTCATAATTTTTTTCTTTTTTCTTATTCTACTTAATTCTCATTTTAACATTTTCCTAATTGAATTTTTCCTTTTTATATTTATTTTATTATCTATTTTTTTTTTTTTTTTTTTTTTTTTCTTTTTTATAATAATAAATCATCTAAATCTTTTCTAATCTTAAGTTTCGGATTACTTTGCATATTTAATGTTGCGGCTAGTTTACTTGAAATATGTGGTTGTTCTACTAATCCAGTAGATAATAAAATACTATTAACGACATCAATAATATCATCATCACTTAACTTAAGAATAGTATATTTTGTTTTGTAAAATCTTAATAAGGAAGAATAATAAGCATAAGCTAAATATAATAACTGCGTATTAGACATCCAACTATTTAAATAATTAGAAACATTAGTATTTCTTATTGTGTATTCATCTGAATTTATTTTTTCAATATTTAAATCTTTTATTTGTTCATAAAATAATTCATCAGCTTCGTTTAACAAAATAATGGCCATACCTTCTTTATTACTTCTTGCTGTTCTTCCAACTCTATGAATATATTGCTCTCTAGAAATAGCACAATTCACTTGAATAATTAAGGTAACATCTGGATAGTTTATTCCTCTTGAGCTTATATCTGAAGTAAATAATATTCCAACAGATTCCATATAAAATCTATTAGATGTAATTTGCCTATGAGTTGGTTCTTTTTTTCTATGAATTTCATAAACTGAAATTTTCATTTGGTTTTTAAAAAAAGTAGCATAAAATGAAGTAGCTCTAGCAGTAGGAAAAAATACTATAATTTTATATGTGAACTGATTTAATCTCATATGTTCAATTAATAAATTATATAATATTACTGTTGTATCAATTGCCTTATGAAATATAACAAATTGTTTTAATTGATCGTTAGTATGTTTTGTAGTATCTTTTATACAATTTAAAAAAATGTAATCTGATTTACACATATTTTTTCTTATATCATCTAAATTATGGCTTAAAGTTGCAGAAAAAAGAAAATTTCTTCTGTTTTTTGGTAAATATGATAATATTCTATTAATATCATTTTGATAACCAAAACTTAATAATTGATCTGCTTCGTCAATTATCAACATTCTTAAATTATGAAATAATGTATTAAATAAGTATGTACATTCAAAATGATCTAACAGTCTTCCAACAGTGCAAATAATAATATCAGGTTTAACTCTTCTTATATTTATTTGATCTTCTCTTCTTTTTGTTCCTCCTGTAAGAGTTAAAACATTAATATTATTTTTATAAGTTAACAATAACTTTGCTTCATTGTATATTTGATTTGCTAACTCTCTAGTTGGTACTATTATAAGAGTGTGAACACTCAAAATTTTATTTTTTAAAATATCGTTAATTACTAATAATAAATATGATATGGTTTTACCAGTTCCTGTTTTTGCCTGAACTAATAAGTCATTTTTTTTTTTTTCTTTTATTATACTTTTATATATTATTTTTTGAACATCTGTGAATTCTTTATATTTAAATACTTCTAAAAGACTTTTTTTTATATCTTCATCTATTTCATCCGTATTTTCTATCAATATTTTTTCATCCTCTTTTTTATCATTATTAGAAGTTGTCTTTTTATTATTCTCTTCCACAAATATTTCATTTGTATAATTTCCATCTTTTTCCTTCTTTTGATTATTATTATGTTCTATATTAAAGTTACGTTTTGTATTTATAGAGAAATATTTAGAATTTTCGTAAAATATGATATTATTTTTAATTTTTTTAGATATGTATGTTATATTTTTAATTTCAATTTTTAGTAGTTCATTCTTTTTATTTTCATTGATTTTAAATGTTCTTTTTAAGTGTAAACATTTGTTATTATTATAAAAAAAAGAATAATTCAGTTTTTTTTCAAAAATTAAGCAATTTCTGATAAATATATTGCTATAATACATGTGTTTTAAAACAAGTAAATTAAACATTTTTTAAAAATACAAAATTAAATAACTATCTCTAATTACATTTACAAAATATCTATATAGCTTTTTATTTTTTTTTTTTCTAATATTCATTGTTTCAAAAATCTTTAGTAAATATTTTTTTACTTAAATTTTTTTGAATTAAACAAATAACTCTTAAAAATAATTATATATCCTTTTTTTTTTTTTTTTTTTTTATGTTAAATTAACAATATATTTATTCTTTTATTTTCTTTTTTACTTCTTATAAGTTTTAAATTTCTTTTGTATATATATAATAAATATAAATGTATTAATATATATATATATATATATATATATATGTTTATTAATATACTTTTTAAAATATAAACGGCAAATTTTTATCAATAATCTCACATTTTATAGAAATTAATGTAAGCATTATATATATGTTAGCTTAAAATTTAACTGAATAATTTGGTAAAGTGTTATGATTTAAACTTTTTAATTTTATAAAATTATAAATATTGAACAAAAAACAAAAAAAAAGAAAAAAAATAAAGCAAGAATGGATGAACATAAAGATGCAGAAATATCACAAAAAGAGAGTACAACTGAGTCAGGAAATAATTCTAAAAATGCAATTAATGAAAAAGAAAATAACTATGATAAAATAAATAATTTTAACGATTTAAATGGAGGAGAAGAATGTCAAGTGTTAAATAATGATGTAAATGAAAATATTAATAATAAAGAAAATAAAGAAATGGATAATTTTATAGAAGATAAGGTGGATTATAACACAAATGATAATAATGAAAAGTCTTTAAATAATAATGAAAACAGTAATAATTTAATGGGTGAAACCGTTAATAACGTAAGTAATAATAACAAAAGTAACAATAACACTATAGATGAAAATGAAATAAATGATTTATTTGATGATTTTTTAAAAGATATTGAAAACATTACATCAAATAACAATAGCGAACAAAAAGAAAAAAAATTCAATAAAGGTGATGCTGAAAAGGAAATAAGTAGAATTCTAGCTAATAAAAATAGTTCTCCATTTGAAATATTTGATATACATGAAGATATAAGTGTGGAAGTAATAAAAAGTAAATATAGAAAATTATCTATTCTTATTCATCCTGATAAATGTAAAATTGAAAAGGCTAATGAAGCTTTTAATATTTTAACAAGAGCATATGAAGAATTAAAAAAAGATAGCATAAAAGAACAATATAAAAGTGTTTATGAGACAGCTAAAAAGAATATCATTAAAAAATTAAATTTAAAAAAAAAAAAAAACGAGATAAACGAATATTTAAATAAGGCATATGAAGAATATGAAATTACAAAAGAGATACAACAATTAATCAATGAAGAATGTGAACATTTAATGAAAGTTCAGAGAGAAAAAATAGAATATGCACAAAAATGTAAATTGGCTAACATGAAATATGTTCAAGAAAAGGAAGAAGAAAAATTAAAAGAAGATTTAAAAAAAGAAGAAGAAAGAAAATTATGGATTGAAGGTAGAGATGAAAGAGTAAATAGTTGGAAACATTATAAAAATGAATGTTTAAAAAATGAAAAAGAGTTTCATTTATTTAAAAACATTAATAGAAAAAAAGAAGAAAGGACAGAAGAAGAAAAAGAAAAATTGAAAAAGATTTCTATTAATAATATGGAGAATACTATTTATAAAAAAAGAAGAAAAAAATGAATAAAAAGAATATCTATAAAATAATATCATTTCTTTTTTTAAAATACTAAATATATTTGTTACGTTTATATATATTTATTTATTTAAATTTTAAGGAATACTTTTTTACGTTACTTTTTTGTATATTCATACTGATCTACTTATATATTTTCATACATTCATAGAAATGTATTATTTTTACTTTAAATATTAGTATAACTTATTTAAAACTCAAGAATTTTTCATAAATATATATTTTTAATATTTGAAACTTTCACCAAATGAGGGAAATATTACATAATTTTATAACATAAAATAACAACAAACACATCAAAAGAGTTTTTAGTTTTTTTTTGAATTTTAGAAAAATTTTTTTTTTTAAAAACAAAAAAAAAAAAAAAAATAAAATAAAATAAATGACAATAATGAATTGATTTTATAAATAAGAAAACTAAAAATAAATATGTATTTTTAATATAAATGTCATCTTTTATTACATTTTAAATTCATCAATATAAACTCTATTATACAAATAAACTAAATTATTTATTTCTTTATTTAATAAGTTGTTCAAATTATTTTTTTTTATTTTCATATAATTATGTGTAATTATACTTTTTAAATAGTTTGTTATATTTTTATTATTTAAAAATATAATTAAGTTTAAGATACACTTTAATATATTTATTTTTATAAATAAATCTATTCCTCGATCAAGTAGCAAAAGCAATTCATCAATAATATAAATTTCTTTTATTAAAATTTTTTTTTTTTCTGAATCCGTGTTGTTTTCATGATATTTCACTTCCTTATTTATTTTATTATTTATATGAAATAGTTCTTTATTTCCATTTCTTTTATCTTTATTTATACTATTTTTTTCTTTCTTTAGATTATTCACAACTTTCTTTTTGTCTTCATTTTCTATGTCGTTGCCATTTTTTTTTTTTTTTTTAGCCTCTTTTTTACTTTCAAATTTACATTCATTTTTATTCTCATTTTTATCATCACTTTCATTATTACTATCTTTTTCACTTTCATCATCACTTTCTTTTTCACTTTCATCGTCACTCTCACTTTCACTTTCACCATCACTTTCTTCTTCACTTTCACCATCACTTTCTTCTTCACTTTCACCATCACTTTCTTTTTCACTTTCATCATCACTTTCATCATCACTTTCGCCATCACTTTCTTCTTCACTTTCATCATCACTCTCACTTTCACTCTTATTCTCACTATCATGTTCATATATATTTTTATTATCATTTTCATATATATTTTTCTTATCAGCCGTTGTACTTTCATTTTCGCTTTCTTTAAATCTTTTACTTTCTTCAATATTATCACTTAAAAATTCTTTCATTTTTTTTCGCTTCTTGTTAGTTTTAATTTCAGAAAAATTTATATCTTTATTTATTGAACTTTCTTTTCTTTCAGTATAATTCTTTTCCAAATTGTTTTTATTAAACAAAAAAAAATAAAGCATTGACGAAAGTATGTCTTTGTTTTTGCTGACTTGTTCAGAATCATATATGAAATTATTCTTACTTATTAATGAATGTCTATTTTCAAATAAACAAATATATGAAGTAAAATTTAATTTATCTAAAAAATTATAAATACAAATATCTTTTTGTTTTATATATTCAATGTTAATTCTATGAAATTTATAGTTACTGCATAAAAAAATTTCATCTTTCAAAAATTTAAAAACTTCTAATTCCTCACAACTTTTTAAAAGAGGTTCTTTCATAAAAAACAAAATATTTTTGTTTTCACTTGAAATTTGTAAATCACTTTTTTTTTCTAATAAATTATTATTTTCTTCTTTTATTTTATCTTTGAAATTTTCATTTATTATTGTTTTTGTAGATATAATTTCTTCATTTTTTTTTTGCAAAGGAATATTTTTATTATTATCGATTTTAAAAACTTCAGATATATCATTGAATTCATAAAATGTATCAAATAAATTGGTAAGGAACAAACAAAAAAAATATATCATAATATCTTTATCAAAGGAATTGAATAATTCTATTAACAAATTGTTCAGTTCGATTAAATTAAAATATTTCTGAATATTTTCTTTATAATAATTTGTTTCAAAATCATTGTAATAATTTTTTTTTAAATGTAAAAAATTAGAGTCTTCACAAAAATAAAAATTAGATAATTTCATACATTCATTAATAAATAAATAATAATAAAAACATGGCTGATTCATTTTATGTTCTTCAATCGAGTTAAAAATAATATTTTTAAAATCATCATATTGGAGAATATAATTTCTTACCCATTTTTTTTTTTCTATTTTTAAATACACATTTAGAAGTAAAAATATGAAAATATGCAAATTGCTTTTATCATTTTGAAAAGTTTTCAAATATTTTTTAACTAAAAAAATAATCACATCTAATCCATATTTTTCTTCTTCTTTTACAATATTAATTTCATTATTACTATTTTCATTACTATTAATTTTTAAAAAATTTTCATTTAGATTTATATTATCATTTTTTATATTATTATTATTATTATCATTATTATTATCATTTTTATTATTATTATCATTATTATTATCATTATTATTACAATTTGTACTTTCACATATATTTTTATCCATTTCACATTTATGTTTTTTACAGTAATCATCAAATTTATCCAAATTATTACAATTCTTATATTCTTCTTTAAAATTTTTTAATAATTTAAAAAATATATCAAATTCTATATTAAAATATAAAATATTTAAGTATAAACTACGAGGAACAAATAAAATAGCTCTTACATACAACTTTCTTGTATGAATTATATTTTTTTTTATGTTATAAAAATAGTATAAGTAAATTGTCCATATTAATTCATTTTTCATATGGTACTTTAAGCTGCTTAATATAGCATTTTCTAATTCTTCTTTTTTCTGCTTTAAGTAACAAAAGTTTAAATACTGTAACCAAACTTGAATATTATTAAAATATTTTTTCAAACATACCTGAAAAATTTTTATTATTCTTTTTATTAAGGAATTATCAGATAAGCTATATTGTAATAATATTTCTAGTTTTTTTTCCATTTTTAAAATGCTATTTTTATACTTTTTTATTTCATTTTCATTTTTATTTATTAATGCTTTTAATTTTTTACATTTTTTTGAATTTTTATTATTCTCTATTTCACCTTGTAAATTTATAAATTCAGTATAATTCCTTTTTATTAACTTTTTATATTTTTTAATTTCGTCTAAGTATTCTATCTTTTTCTCTTCTTTTCTTTTTTCTCTCAAATTTTCTAGATTCATTTCAAACTCTAAATATAAAATAAAATTCAATAATAAAGAAGATGAGCTATTAATATTGTATTCATGTTGCCTTCTTTTATTTGCAATCATCTTAATCTCATGTTCATTGAATAATTCTTTCCTTTTGAGATCATTAAACTCATAAACCATATTTTCTATAATCTTACATACTTTATCTATCATTTTCCTTAATGATTATAATCAAATGATAACGTATATAAAAAAAAAAAAAAAAAAAGTCAACCGTAAATTGCCATAAAAAATATTAATGTATATAAAGTTTCAAAGAATATATATATATATATATATATATATATATATATATATATATATATATATATATATAATTAATAACAAATAAAATATAAAAAATAAACTAAATTTATTAACTTTTAATTATTAAGTCATCTATATATTTAATTATGACAATTTTTTTAATTTTTTTTTTTATCTCTTTCAACATTTTTTTTTACATAATTTTAAATGGGAAAAAAAAAAAAAAAAATAATTTTAATTTATTTAAATTAACAAAATTAATTTTATAAATAATTTTAAAAAAAAAAAAAAAAAAAAAGAAACAAAATTCATAGGAAATATTAAAAATGTTGTATTAAAAGAAAATATTTATAAATGAATATTTAAATTTATATTAATATATTTTAAAAAATTTCAATAGGATACGTTACATAATTTTTTTTTAGTATATAAGCATTCATAAATATTTCACCTTTTTTTTTTTTATAATTTAATAATTTTTTTAATATATATAAATTTTTTTCCTATTGTATATATAAAATATTCCTTTTTTTTATCGACAGATTTTTATGAATTAATGTAGAATAGTTAATAAAACCATAAATAGAATATATATATATATAATATAAGAGATACAAATAATTATATTTTTATCTTCATTAAATATTAAAAAGGAAAAGTAGCAATGGAAGATGAAGTTATAATAAGTGGAGATTATGTTAAAATAGAAAAAGATAAACTTAATAAAATTAATGAAAATAATTTTGAGAAAATTCATAATAGTGAACATGAAAATTTCTATAGGAGTAAATGTTCAGGTATTTTATTAAAAACACCATATTATCCTTATAAATATGAGATTATGAACACTAGCTATAAATATATACCGAAAGTGGGTGATTTAGTAATAGGAATAGTAAAATCAAAAAAATTAGATTATTATCAAATGGATATCAATTGTAACTGTGATTGTATTATACATAAAATTGAAGGATTTAAATACGCAACAAAAAGTAGTTTTCCTAATTTAGTAAATGGGACATTATTATACATGATAGTTGAAAAAATTAATTTGGATAATAATAGTGTAGTAGCTAGTTGCATAAATTCATCGGATGTAAAATCATGGATAAATTACGAAAATTATTTAGGTGAGTTAATAGATGGATTTTTATTTTCTGTTAACATTTCATTTTCAAAAAGTTTAATTGGAGACAGATGTTATATTTTAGATCTAATTGGTCAAGATATAAATTATGAAATAGCTATAGGACATAATGGAAGGTTTAAAGGAAAAAATTAAAAATTATATAAATTTCATCTTTTTATGAAGATAAAAATACTTTTTCTTATTATTATTTTTATTTATTTTTTCTTCTCTTTTCCTTAATTTATATTGATCACATATATATATATATATATATATATATATATATATATATATATATATATATATATATATATATACCTTTTATTTTTTTTTTTTTTTTTAACTAGAGTATGGATAAAATCAAATGAACCACTAGAAACAAATTTGATTTATAGTGCACTCAAACATTCATTTGGAAAAACTAAAGCTCAGGTATTTTACTATTTTTTATTTTATTTTTTTTTTTTTAAATTAAGTTTTTTTTTTTTTTTCGTTATTTATGCTGAAAAAAATGTACTTCCATAAATGTTTATATTTTTTCTTTTTTTTTTTTTTTTTTTCTTATTCTTTTTTGTATCTTATTTTTTTTACCTTTTTTGAATTTACACTTCATAACATTTTTATTATTTTATATTTTAGATGGATGTACTTTGGAAATCTATTTATAATCTAAGTAAAAAATCTACATAGAAAAAAAAATGGAAAAAAAGACTAAATAAATATTTTTATTTTATTCCATATTCTTCTTTAATTATCTTTTTGCATATGATATTTTTAATTTAGATCCTTGTAATTCATAATTTTGTAAAACTAAAAAAAAAAAAAAAAAAAATTTAAATTTATAAATTATTTGTTTTTATGTTATTAATATTTATATTTAAATATACATTATTTCTTTTTTTAATTTTAATAAATATATAAATAATAAACATTATACTTTTTTTAATATATTATTTGTATTTTAACATTATATAATAATTTTTTATTAGATTTTCAGATTATACATTAAGTTTAATATATATATATATATATATATATATATATATATATATATATATATATATATATATATATATATATTGATTTAATAACGTTATTAAAAAATATATATATATCATTATAAATATATTTTCATAATTATTACCTTTCATTGCATATGTTGCTGTACCTTCATCAGAAAAATCAACAAAAGCAACATTTCTTTGAGGTATAATTCTAGCTTCAATAAATCCTGCAAAACTCTTAAATAAATCGTTAAAGGCTTGAGTGTTAACATTTTCTACAACGTTTTCAACAAACAAAATTTTATATGGTACTATAACATTATTTGGAATAGAAGAACATGTATTAATAGGATAATAAGGAGGAAATATATTATTTTTCGATAAATCTTCATTTTTCTTAGTTTTTTCTTCATATGCTTTTGCTTGGGCTTTTGCAATTAATGTTTGTTTGTCTATTTGATTTAAATCAATTTTTTCACCTTTTTTTTCATATTCTTTATTCTGACTCATTTTAAAATTATTCATTTGCATTTCTAAATAATTCTTGTGCATTGTTTCAAAAATTTCTTTTTGTTTTTTTTCTCTTTCAATAATTTGTTTAGGTTTCTTTGGATTTTTTGATCTCTCAACAAAAGTTCCATCTCTTTTCGAATGTATATCACTTTTATTATGTGAATAATTTATTTGCATTATTTTCCCATATAAAAAATATCCTTGCATAGCATTCAAAGCTTTTGTTGAACTTTCAATTGTATCATAAATTATCCAAGCTTGTCCTTTTCTCCAAAAAGATTTCATAACAATTATGTCTTTAATTATTCCATATTGTTTAAATAGATCCTTCAAGTTTTTTTTCATTTCTTCTGGTTTTATTCTGTCATTTAAATTTTTTACATAAAGCGTTTCATTTGGCTTTATATTCGGATCTGCTGTAATTACTTTATTATATTTTAAGTGTTTTAAATAAGCTTTACTGTTCATATAATTCATAGGATTATATATCATATTTGGCTGTTGATACATATGCATTCTCATTGGATTATTTAAACTATCACTATTTTGATACATATTTATAGGATAATGATTATACATTGGTTTTGTATTTCCAGTTAATTTATTCTGCATATTATAATTTGCATTCATATTATAATTTACATTATTGCTTAAATTCATATTATTTATAGGATTTATATTTGTATTTGTATTTGCAATATTATCCACATTACTTGTAGTGTTTGAATAGTTTCCATTATTCATAAGTGCTGTACTATTAGTATTTATTGAAGAGTTTGGATTAGTTGTGTTGTTTATGTTGCTAGAATCATTAGTATTTAAAGAATTTATTTTATTGATATCTTTACTGTTAAAATTTTCATTATTATGAATATTAGTATTTATATAATTTTCTGGTGTATAATTTGTTGTAATATTGTTAATTTGTAAATTATTAATTTGATGAAAATTATTATTTGGAACATGATTTATAGCATTAGTGTTCATATTATTATTTTGGTGTGGATTAATATAATTTTTATTAAAAATATTTATTTTATTTTGTTTATTTATATTATAATTAGAATTTTGCATTTTTTCTATATTTTCTGTATTATTCATTTGATTTTGCTTATCTTTATTGGGTTTGCTATTGTTAAAATTATTATTATTGGGAACAAAGTTCCTATAATGTGGGTTATTATCATTATAACCCGCATGAATGTTACCTCTGTTTATATCATTAAATGAATTATTGTTCTTCATTTTTTAATATACTCATGTTACCTTTTCTTCAATATTTATGAATTAATTTTATTAGATGAATACTTTTAAATTTATATATATGAACATATTAGTTTAATATCATTTATAATTTAAAAAAAAAATATATAATACATATATATATATATATATATATATATATGTACTATGTATATCTTCTTTCTTTTGAAGACTTATTAAAAATATAAGAAATATAAGTTATATAAAAGAAAATGCAAAAATAAATTTTAAATTGACTATCAAAAAAAAGAAAAAATAAATTCATATATATTTAAATACACGGCAAAGATATAAGCTACTACTTTAATTAAAATTTTTTATTTAATTAATATAATTTGAACTTTTAAAAAGGAGAAAAAAAAATAAAATAAAAATATATGGAAAAGGAAAAGGAAAAAAATTTTAATACGAAAAAAAAAAAAAAAAAAAAAAAAAAAAAAATTTATTTTTATAAAAAAAAAAAAAACAAATATAGTAACAAAAATCAGTTTCATGTATACTTTTTTATGTAAATAATAATTTATAAAAAGAAAGAAACTTTATATTATGTCATTTTTTCTTTTTATCCTGAGAAACGTCGAATTTTTTTTATATTAATTTTTCTTATAATTTTTATTAACTTCTTAAAAAGTAAGGCTACAAATAATTTTTCATTTTAAAATAAAGTACTTTAAAATATATGAAATTTATTTTTCTTATTTTTCTTTTAACTATCTTTATATAAAACGAGAGTTTGTTATTCATTCTCCCTTTTACAAAAAAAAAAAAAAAACAAAATACACAAGTTTTGCACATATGTATCTCTATTATATATATATCTTTAATATAAATTAAGATAAAATATATTTTGTTAAATTTCCATAATCATAATAATAAAATTACATTTGTAAACATAAATTTCATTAATGAAAATGATTTATCATTTTAAGTTTTAATTATATGAAATATCTGATTTATTTAAATAAAAATATTTCTTTAAACTTTTTTTTTTTTTAATACTTTATATTATTGTTGTTAAGAAAATTGTTATTAGATATTTTTTTGGACATTTTTTTTTTTTTTTTAATTTTTAATATACCGAAAATAATACTATTGTGTTAACGTAATATAGTTTTATTTTTTTTTTTTTTATATTTCTCCAATAAAATGTCAAATGAATTAACCAACAATGATTTTCGTTTGATTTTTGATAAATATGAAAAGGAAAAAAAAGAAAAAGAAATAAAATTGTTGTTAAAAGAAGAGAAGAAATTAAAGAGAAAACAAAAATATTTAGTAAAAAAAAAAAAAAACGAAGAGAAAAGTGAGCAGAAATATAGAGATAGAGCTGAAGAAAGAAGAAAAGGAATAATAAAAGATATAAAAGATTCCACAGTATTATACAATAATGTGAATAATACAATTGATGAATCCAAATATATGGGAGGAGATATTGAACATACTCATTTAGTAAAAGGTCTTGATTTTCTACTATTAAATAAAATAAGAAATAAATTAATTAATAAAATAAGCTTAGAAAAAGAAAAAGTTAAAAGTAATAAAATTAAGTATCCAAATAAAATTCCTGAGTTTTTAAATAATGAATCTAAATACATATATAAATATTTCTTTTTGTATGAACATCCACATCATATAAATTTTAAAAAAAAAATAGAAAACATATACAACAATATTATGAATAATATGAAATTTAAAAATTTTAACAAAAATATACATTATTTTAATTATAAATATAATGTAGATATGAATGTTGATAAAAATGACATACCAATTAAATATATTTATAATGTAGATAATATAAAAACTAATTATACATATTACATAAAAGATTCCTTCTTAAATGAAATAGGAATTTGCTTCAAATGGCATATGGAAAATAAAAAAAAAAAAAAAAATGAAAGATTGTCAAAAAGGCCATTAACTGGTTTTTTAAAAGAAGAACAAATTTGTGATGAATACATTGATATCTTTAAAAATGACAATGAAAATTTTAATAAAAATATAAACAAAATAGAAAATAATAATAGTATAATGAATAATAACTACGATTATAATAATATAAATAAAGTTAAAGATGTAAGCATTCATATTAATGATGATGAGGTAAAAAATAAGGATGATATAAATAAAGAAAATTTATCAGAAATAACTATTAATAATACAGAAAAAAATATAAATTTGTTTAGTTCTGAAAACAATTATAAAACTAACAATCAAAATTTAAATGAAAAAAAGAATAGTTTAAATAAAAATGTTTTTTCCGACACATATGAAGAATGTTATCCTGGTTATAATAAATATATTTTTTAGTATAATTATTTTTTAAAATTTCATAATATATAAAAAGCAGTCATATTAAAAAAAAAAAAAAAAAAAAAATCATACAGTAAACATCAAAATAAACTTATATCTAAAAAAAAAAATATATTAATTAAAAAAAAATAATGTAATAACATGAGTAACATTTTAAAGGAAAAACAAAAAAAGTAATATATATATATATATATTAAAAAAAGTAGTTTATAAATATATATAATAAAGTAATACTGAAAATTTACTGTAGTTAAGTTGAATAATTACTTTTACCATTAATACCTTTTTTTTTTATAATGAATTATTTTAACAAAAAAAATAAAAAATAAATTATCTTTTATATTTAAGAAAAATAATATGTCTATATTTTTATCTCTATTTTTTTTTAGTATATAAAACTAAAAAACATTTGAAATATTAGATATTAAAAATTTTATTTTGTTTATTAAAGATTTATTGCATTTTAATTTTCTTTTTTTTTTTTTTTTAATTTTGAGTTATTCTAAATTAATTATAAATTTTTTTAGTCTTAATTTATTTTTAAGAGATAAAAAAAGGAAAAAGTACTATTTACATATATATATATATATATATATATATATATATATATATATATATATGTTAATCAATTTTTTTATTTTTTTGTAAGATCAATCTTTATCCCCACTTTTTTTATAAATAAAAAAAATTAATCATTATAAAAATATATTACTAAAATAAAATCAATGTTAAATATCTTTACAATATCTTTAAATTTTATCAAAAAATTAAATTTTAAATAAATTTAAAAATGCAAATTATATAAATAAAAGATATTTTGTTGTAATAAGATAATAGATAAGTATGTAAACAAAAAAAAAAAAAAAAAATAAATTAAAATAAAATAAAATCTAATAAAAACAGATAAAAAAAAATTATATTAAAACACTTCTATATGTGTAAAAAAAAAAAAAAAAAAAAAAAATATCATAAATAGTAATAAAAAATATATGCTATTTATAAAAAAAATTTTATTAATTTGTATTTTTAAATAGCATATTTAATCATTGCATTTCTCTCATTTTTATAAAAGTTTGTTATATGTATATATTTCTTTTTATATAAAAAAAAAATTAATTTGATATTATCTCATAAAAAGCAACTTACATAACTGTGACTATTAGTGTATTAAACAAATAAAAATAATATTTTACTATGTATTTTATTTCATTTTTTTTTTTCTATTTATGAGCATTTACGAAAGAACTTTCAAAAAAAAATAATTTTTTTTTTTTTTTATTTTTATTAATTTCTTGAAATTATCGTTTGTTTTTTTTTTTTTTTTTTTTTTTTTTTTTTATCACTTTTCACAAAATTTAAAAACTATTTTTATGCATAATTATGAATTAAACAAAAATTCATTGTATACATTTTAATTTAATCATGTTTTAAAAAAAAAAAAAAAAATTTAAAAATGTTAGGAAAAAGGAAAACTAATGAATCACAACAAAAAAAAAGAAAAAAATGGATAGAAGAACTTGATGATGATTTAGAAGAAATTGATTTAGAATGCTTGAACGATTTAAAAGAAAACGAAAAAGCTAACATAGAAGAAGGATTAAAAGAGGAAGAAAAAGAGGTATCTAACAATAATTTAGATGAAGAAAAATCAAATGAAAATTTAAATGAACTAAATGATTGTGTTATGCATAATGAAAATAATAAAAAAAGAAAAAGATATGAGTGGATGAGTAGTGATGATGAAGATATATCAAGTGAAGATGAAGAAAACACAAATGATGAATATGATGAAGATAAAATAGAAGAAAATACAGATGAAACCAAGGAAGATAAAAATTCAGAAAATAAGGATAGCGAAAATAGTACAAAATCTGAATTAAGTGAAAAAGATAAAGAAAAATTAAATTATATAAATGATAATGAAAAAAGTAATAATAAAGGTAACTTAAAAAAAAATTATGAAGAAAGTGATAACAAAAATAATTCATTAGAAATAATAGATAATATAAATAAATATTCAATTAACCAATTAGATATAAAACTTGAAGATATTGAACATATTATTACGTATGTTTATTTTAATAATATTCACTTTAATTGTGTTACTGAAAAATTAGTTGAATTTTTAGAGAATTACACAAATAATAAAATTATACAAGTCAACTCAGATAAATCAACTAATTATACTGTTTTATATAAATATGATGAAAAAAATAATGACAAAGTTACTATAAATAATTTTTCACATTATGGAAAATTATTTGTGCATGTGAAAAATTATCAAGTAATTTTTATTAACCAAATTATTGCATAATTTTTCAAAAGTCTCATTTATAAATGAAATCAAAATTAAATATATTCTTTCTATAGAAAAATTATTTTTTTTTTTCCCACTTTTTTTTTTGTTTGTTAAAATATATTTCATTATTTTTTTTTTTTTTTTTTTTTTTTATTT